AATACTCCGAAATAGCGCGAAATAGCCTGAAATAATCCGAAATAGGCGGGAAATAGCCGAAATAGCAGGAGAAATAACCGAAATGGTAGGAGAAATACCACGAAATAGTCCGTACGCTACGAACCCTAGTGATTTCTCCCTCGGCGACCGTCCAGAAAGTGCGTTCGCCGTTTTGTTTTTTTCAAAGTTTGTTCGTTCAATTACGGGAGCTCGGCGCCTGTTAGACTCGGGGTAGGCCAGCCCCTAGTACACGCATGTACTGCAGGCTCGATTCTGCATACCTACCTGGCGCTACGAGAGCTCGCAGAGGCTAAACTTTGCAGTTTTGTAACACGGCAAATGACGAACGTACTTTCTGGACGATCCCTTAAATGTTGCGGATTGGACGCGGGAGTAGACGTGAGCAGATCCTAGATCCCGTGCACCGGCCGGCTCCCGCCTCGCCTAGCCCGCCCTGCCCGCCCGAGTCACTGTCAAGGACGCCACTCCTCGCGCAGTATTGTTAGTTAATGACCAAGTGGTGCGCGGCAGCCGGCCGAAAACGGCCACACCTAGGAGGAGTCGTATAGAGAAGAGGCCTACGGACAACAACAACAACAACAATAGTCTGATGTTACTCTTCTGTTTGTGATTTCAGCGTGTGCTCGTCCATGACTCGCCTAGACTGCGACTATGGAACTCGTCGTGTGACGATGATGAAGCTAGTTTGAGATGAATTCAGGATACCGAAATGAAATGAGAGGGGGGAGGGGGGTGGCGCAGGAGAGGATCTGCTACAGTTTATGAAGGCCACGGCCGCAGTGGTGTGGTGGGAGGGCGCCGCGCCGACGGGGCGGACTCGTCGCCCAGTGTGGTCATGCTCGGCAGAAATATGAGATGAGTTGTTTTCGGCACGCGGACCACCTCTTCAGGTGTCGTGACTCGAGCGTATACGGTTGCAAGCGCCTCTTGGACATGGAGGATCGCTCTAGCTGCGCACTATTTGGAGATCCTTTTTGTTTGCTTGTTTGAAGGAAATGGACATCAGCTTAATTCGGCCCAGACTATGGCTGAAATACTTGTTTTAGTGAGGTAAAATCATACTTTTAAATAGTTGCTTAGAAATTTAGCTGTTGATACGTATTGGGAAGAGAATGGAAGGGATGTATTGAACATTCGTAGAATAAAAGTGAGGCAAGCTTTAAGATGGTAAACTGTTTATTTTTGAGATTTGCATGATGAGACCGAAACATTTGTTGAAGGGCACGCCGATCTCGCACAGGGCTGGGACAGCGCGCTCACCGATGTGGACATTGGCGTCTGCAGCGTCACTGGATAACAGAAAACACGAGAGTTTTTGTGAGAAATGTGTCGGGCGGCCGAGTTTGCGAGTCGGCCTGGGCGCCTGTCGCCCTGGGCTCGGCGCTCGCAGAGCAGGGCTGAATCAGCTCGTCTGCTATCTCAACTGCTTTGCGCCGCGCGGATGAATTTTTCAGTTGACGTGGACCTCCCCATTACCTAATGCAGCACATACGGTGAGTGAGACGATGAGCGCCCCACCCACACACGGTTCAAAAAAGTCAGAACTTCGCCGAAAAATTCTAGTGTAAAAAGATACTATAACTCTTCGTGGTGTGGTGGGAAATCAGAACTTTTCTTCGGTAATAAAAATTGATTGACTCGAAGAGTAATACTACGACTGGTCCCCAAATTTTTTTTCAAATTGAGATAGCAAAATGCACGGTTTTCGACCACAAAGAAGTGTTGTGATGTCACAGTTCCTCCGTATCAAGCAAGTAAGTTTTACGAAATCAGAAAACATTTTTAACAGTTCAAGTTCCAGTCGGGAGTTAAAGGTACGGGGGCTAGAAAATAATAGTTCTACTACTCACATTTGTCTTAACGGTAGAGGTAAGAGGAGCCGTAGCCGAGACCGGAGTAGGCGTAGGGGTACGCGCCATAGGCGCTGACTCCAGAGTAGGCGGGGTAGGCGGAGTAGGCGGAGTAGCCAGAGTAGGCAGCGGGGTAGGCGCCGACGGTGCTGACATAGGGCGATGCCAGGTACTGGGCCGAGGCCACGGCCAGGACGGCGAAGACGAGGAGCAGGGACTTGTACATGGTGGCGGTTGGTGTTCGGTCTGGAGGACTGATGCCCAGTGCCGGCCGGCGTCGGCTTTTATAACACTTCACAATCAAACAAGGACGCGCGCCCGGCGGGTGGAGGTGCGTGGCGAGGCGGGGTGGGGCCGCCGGGCGTGGTGGCCGGGCCCCCTAGTTCGGCCAACCGCAAACTGGCGCTCTCCTGGCGCCCCCCCGGTCCGGCGGCGCGTCGTGGTCGTCGAAGCTTCGCCTTGGGCGTGGTCCGGGCCGAGCCTCGCGCACACCCACTACAGACCGGCCCAGCCTCCGCGGCGGCGGTGCCTCGTAACTCAACGAGCGCAGGCTGAAGATACAGCCGGATGGGCCCCTCCTCGTCTTTAGCGCAAAACGAGGAGCTGCTCTAGTTATTTCCATCTCTGGTGATTTAACCAGGATGTATTGGTGTTTTTCCACGCTCCCTCCTGTCGAATCACGTTCTTTGAAATATGACTACTTTTCAATTGGCGACATTGTTTGCTCTTGAGTGTACAACGCCTAGACCCGCCGCCCCTCCCTCCCCCCCGCTCTTTTTTGGTCAACAATGCACACGACACTTACTTTTATGAAACGTTAAAAAATGCATCGTTGTTCCTAGCTAATAATCTTCTCGCCTAAACACAGACACGCAAACGCATGTACCGGGTAATTCAGAGAAGAAGCAGGTGCTGACGGGTTTGCCTATCCGCTCTGCCCGTAAGACGCCATTACCCCTTGGGTAGGCAAACCCGCCCGCACCTGCGTCCTTTCTGAATCACCTGGTACACGCACACACTGCAAAACATATACATCTATAATACTAATGCTGAAAACGTACATCTCATATCTGTCGTCCTACAATTTACATGTACATTTACAATTAATTTACCTTCTGTTTCTAGTCTTTAGCCAAGCTGTTCCTGCAGCTTGTTCTTTGCTGTGACAGCCAATTTTTTTCCCCCTTGTGTCGGCTTCACACACCCCAGCCCTGCGACCCTCACTCCCCTCGTCGATTTATGGGCAGCAAACAAGTATGTTATTTCTTTATATTAAACGTGTCATTATGCGAAGCAGTTATACGAAGACGTACGAAATCTGACAAAAATGGCGCCACTCTGCGTCAACTAATTAGCATTCAAAATATCTGGTCCGCGGTGCTCTGATAAAAAGCTCGGTGAGCGTGTAGCGTGTCCGTCACACGCAGCCTCTCCGACCTTGAGACCTGGAGGCGGGCTGGAGGCGGGCTGGAGGCCCCGACATCATCTCTACAAAAATTCTCTTCTCTCTCGCTCTCTTCACAGCCGTACGTGCCTCTCACGCTGAATGGACCAGAGGCGCGACCAACGCGTCCAATAGAGTATAGTAGCCGCGGCCGCCCTCTCCCTGTCGCACCGCGAGGAGCTGATGAGAGGGACAGAGTGAGAGGTGTCAGAAGGCTCACCACTTGTCACGCAGCTCCGCGCACCTCGTACGCGTGCCGTCTTGCATACGGTGGACAAAAAGGCAGCGCCGACTTTGTTTAGTTTTTTTTTTTTTATCTCGCATTGGCTTGACAAAACCCAGTACTTAACAAATTCGAGTGTTTACTTTACTGGGAGTATTTTTTTCGGTATTTCCGCTAGTATATTTCCCACTAGCTTGACCGGACAAGGTCGCAAACTCGTCTTGCATGTAAATGACACAAACTGAATATAAATTTCTTAGCAGAGAATAATTTTTTGGGAGAGTTGTTCAACTAACGGGACTGCAAATCAGGCTGGCGTTTCTCTGTTATTTACATAAATCCTTCCCTGGAGCCCTCTTCCCCTTCCTATTGTCAGCCAATGATCAGGATGTACGGTGCGATGCACTGGGCGTTGAATTGGATGTACATTGTGCTGACCAGGCCATACTGACGTATATGTGTGTGTGTGCGGGTGCGCGTAAGAGGGAGAAAGAGAGGAAATAGATAAAATATTTTCCAGCCCCACAATCGCTTGTCCGCTGCTCTTCCTCACCCCTTCTGACTTCCCGTCTGTGTTTGATTAGTTCATCCCTGATGTCTCATTTGACAACAGGACAAAGAGTTCTGTGCCACCGCTCACACAGCCCCACAGAGCCCCTCTCGCCCCAGACCAGTCCCTTGTTCGTTAATACAATATTAGCCGAACACGCATTTTTGTCAACAAAATAATTTTCGCGTTGTATAGTTTTACTTTTTGACAGCACTGGTAAGGTGGCGTGGGGTAGAGTAAGGAAAAAGTAATGTGTAGTGGACAAACGTTTCAACATAGTGAGTGAATGATCAGATTTATTATTTCTGTAAAAGGGTGTCAAAATAGTTGCTGACATCACAGCCCGCTGTCGTGGGGTCCGGTGCGCGTTGAGCCGAGGATGAGATGTCTATCCGTTTCAATTTTTTCCACATTAGCCTCTACATCTTAACGGTAGAGGTAGGAAGAGCCGTAGCCGAGGCCGGAGTAGGCGTAGGGGTAGGCGCCGTAGCTGCTGTAGGCGGAGTAGGCAGGGTAGGCGGCGGCGGAGCGGTACAGTCCACCGTAGTTGCTGTAACCCGCAGAGTAGTAGGGGCTGGCCAAGTACTGGGCCGAGGCCACAGCCAGGACGGCGAAGACGAGGAGCAGGGACTTGAACATGGTGGCTGTTGGTGTTCGGTCTGGAGGACTGATGCCCGGTGCTGGCCGGCGGGGGCTTATATACCATGTACATATGTGGGGCTCTCTGGCTCGGGGGCGAGGCCGTCGCTCCCCCAGCCTGCCAGCAGGTCCCCGTCGGGAGCAGGGCGGGGCGAGGAGCCCCACGCTTGGGTGTGGCTCTCGGAGGCTCGTCCGCAGTCACACTGACTGACACATCTCCGTTGGCCGAGCAGGCAGCTCGCTGTGGTTGCGGTTCAAGTGTCCTGGTATTGGGTCGGTTTTCCAGGGCTCCTTAACTTATCATAACCAACACGAACGAATATTAGTTAATCAACGTAACAACACACAACTTGAAGTAAAAGTTGAAGTTATGGATTTTCAAATTTGACCGATATTAACTCTGGATACTGTGGAGAAAAGTTAGACCAGTTGAATTACTGATTTATTTTCAAACAGCTACAATAGAAGTAACAATAAGTTACAACGTAATTAGCTCTTTAAATGACGTCAAAGGCTGTTAAGGAATATGTTACTTACACCGGTAGCGGCGCAGTAAATAATCTGCATATCGGTTATCAGTACAATCACATTATGTTCTGGTGTTAGAGGTGATAGACCGCCCGAGACGCGCGCCGTTCATTCTCGCTTTTCCCTTCTCATTCCTTATGACGTTTGACACAAAGCCTTTCACCCACCGGCGGTAAACACTTTTACACATAGCACGCCAATATTTAACACGTTTAGCGGTGTGTGACCCCAATGTGTCCACGCTCTGCTGTTTTTTTCAGCCCCCTGGATGCACAGACGCACCTAACGTGTTAACCTACTTATTTCACGCTAAAGGATTCGGTCGATTGACTATTAAACCTTTGCAAACAACTGACTTAATCCTCCTTGAGAAGTAACTATAACAATTCTCACCACTTGCATACCATGTGTGGACCTGTGCCATCGACTTTGTTTCAATCTAGTTTAATCGGGTTTAATCAAACCTAGTGTTGTCGCTGGAGTAAGATACTGGTTTCAACATTAGCAGTAGAGTTAGTAGGATTGGCCAAATGCTGCTGGGCCAACATCAAGTTGGAGGAAATAAGGTGTTTTAAAAAACACTAGTGGGCCAACCGTTCGAGGGCGATTGTGTGTCCAAGTTGGATCTTTTAAAACTTTCTTTTTGTCCTTATCGGCAAACGGCCATACTGCTGGCTTTGCCATTTTTGCGACTAATCATAAAACTACGTTGCCTAGAATCGATTCAAGCGTACTCAGTCCAAGAATAAGTAAGGGTGTTGGGTGTAGGGTTATTCAGGACTCGTAATTATAGTAAGTATCACGCAGGACTTTGGCCTGGCCTTGCTATTTTTGATAAACAGAAGCTGTTGTGAGACTGCCTCGGAGACTACTCTAATTTTCTTCGAGGTGTCCCCCACTTCGAAAATAGGTGTACAACGAGTTGGTGAGAGTTTGAGAGTTTTTGCGAGCTTGACGTGAGTTGGGCAGGGGTAAGTGTACAACGAGTTTGCTAGTGGGGGTGGGGGACCCTTTGTACATGTACATGCCCCAAATGTACTCTATGCCCCAGATGCCCCCTACCCCTTGGCGCCCTCAATAGTTTTTCGTTTTGTTTTGTCTTCTTTTGCCCAAATGAAAATCAAACATTTCCTTTTCTCGGTGTATCCTGTCCCTCCCTTGCCCCACTTCTTTTCAAGCGAGGAGAGAAGAGAGAAAAGCAGTTGGTACTCCTGGTTCCTGATCCTGACCCACCTTGCAAGCAGACGACGCGACTCCAGCATCCCTGGTCCTGGCACAACAAATTTGCAAGTTAAGTACTGTTTCGATGTGAGGTGTCATTAAACACTTAATGTCACACTCAGTTCAGTTTCAGTTCTGCTGTGCCTTGCCAGATGTCTGATGTTAGTCGCTTGACGTGGACTTAGACAGTTTTCCAGTTTGGCAAAACAGCTAACCCTTCTCTCACAGCATCCCCATCTTGTTTATGCATTTTACTTTCCTGTGCCCGTTCACTGTTCCCAGCCCCGAGTCCTGTCCCTGGTTGGTCCCTGTCCTGCCCCCTGACCTGCCCTCTCCCAGTCCAGTCCTGGTCAGCGGTCCAGCACTATGAAGTGGCCTAGCCAGCCCCAACCTGCATCAGTGACGTGAAGCACTTCAAGAGAGGAGAGTATTTTTTTGGTGAATCAATTTGAGTTCTTCATTTAGTCCGATGTTTTCTTGTCATTTTTCAACTGTAGCTGTAATTTGATGTCTGCGACCTAAACGAAAGATTACAGTACAGGCTTTCGCAATTAAAAACTTTACAAACACCAAGTTATAAAAATACCTCAATTGTTTTTAAGGTACGCGGACTAAGGACCGAACACTCGCCGTCGGGATGGCATTTCCCTGACACGGACTGGGCTCAGCCGCTGAGGCTCAGCCGCTGAGGCTCAGCCGGGCTCAGCCACCCGGGCAGCGTGGCTATTACAGGTGGTTCCGCTGGGCGCTCGGGCTCTCCCCCGAGCCTTGGTGCTCCCTACCGGTGAATCCAATTGCCCGACCCGTCCTCCCCCTGGCTCGGGGGCGAGCGAATCCGTCTCGACTCTATTCTTCTGGGAAGACTCACGCGCCAACAGCAGGTAGTTTCGCCTTCAGTGACGGACTGCGGTCTTGCCTGGCTGAAGCCATTCACACATCCCGTGAGAGACATGGAGACATGTCATTCACGCTCTCTATTTGAGGCAAGACGTCTGCACCAAAATAAAACATTACGTCCCGTTCGAAGCCAAGTCCCTTTAGTCAATCTGTCCACCCCCTTTTCCCTCCACAGTGAGAGAAGCGTTTTGTCCTAATAACCAAAATAGTGTTGAATCAATGAAAATTTACTCTCTCAAGCCAACTAAAAATTTGATCACACCTTTATCAACATAACTAAATCACGTGATCAGGGCGACCAAAATTTGTCTTACGCAAGTAAAATTTTTTTGGCTTCCGTTTTTGTACATATAATTGATGCCTCCTGTACATTTACAAATACTGTTATTTTGCGCCAATTCAAATGTTAGAGTATTTTTCCGAACTACTCGAGTTGTCTGCTCGATTTTGAGTCTACAGAACTGAAATGCGAGCGACATATTATAAACGCAAATTTAGTGAGCAACACCATTGAGCCTTGCCCGAGGGGTCTGCAACTCGTATAATCAAAAGTACACGACCCTATAATCACTTATAATCACGTCTATAATCCATAATCTTTTA